ACAGACTTTCCTGCCCGGGCTGGCTTTGAACCGTGATCCTCAGATCTCAGCCTCCTGAGTAGCTAGGATTACAGGCATGAGCCACCAGCACCCAGCTTGCCAATTCTTCTTGATGTAGTGAACAGATTTAGCACAATAAAATACTAGTAGTTCTTTTTGAACTAGGTAAGTTGGTCCTAAAGTTCTAAAGCAAAAGAAGCAGATACATTAAAAAAAAATCCAAGCAGACACTTCCTACAGCTACAAAAGTGCAGAGCTACAATGTTTAAAACCACATGGTTTTGAGAAAAATGACCCTATAGACTCAAAGAGCAGTTTTGAGCCAGGTGCCCATAGCATACACCTATAATTCTAGTAACTCAGGAGCTGAGATCTGAGGATCATGGCTCAAAGCCAGCCCAAGCAAGAAAGTCTGTGAGACTCTTATCTCCAATTAACCACAAAAAGCCAGAAGTAGAGCTGTGGCTCAAGAGGTAGAGTACTAGTCTTGAGCAAAAAAGCTTAGGAACAGCATCCAGGCCCCAAGTTCAAGTCCCCATACAGGTATGAGCAGATGCATGTACTTGTGTGTGCGGACGCACACATACCCACATTTACAGATTCTGTACAGGTACAATTTTTCATGGGGATATTTTCAAACTACAGTCAGTTGAATTCAGGGATGGGGAAAATCACAGATATACAAGGCCAACTGCACTACTAAAATCACCTATATACACCCAAGCAATAGAACGTGGTAAAGCTCCATGGTGTGCTATTATATACTATTATATAGTATTCTATACTGTGTATTATGTGGCAGTCCGTGGGGAAAGCACACTACAGGAAACAACAGGCACCATGGTGTGGTGGGCCACTTCTGCAGGGACAGGCCGGGCATGGATGGGTTTCAGGAGAGGGATGATGCAGGCCCCGGCAGGGGGAGAGAGTCTGTGAAGGTTCACTGTGTGTTCTCAAGGGGCACGAGCCTTTCTTTTTTTTTGTACAAGTACTGGGCTTGAATTTGGAGCTTTAGCACTGTCCCTTAGCCTGAGCCACAGCTCCACTTCAGGATTTTTTGGTGGTTAAATGGAGACTTTTCCTGTCCAGGCTGGCTTTGAACCATGATCCTCAGATCTCAGCCTCTTGAGTAGCTAGGGCTATAGGCATGAGCCCTTAGCACCAGGCCTAGGAGGCTCTTAAATAAAGACTGGGTTTCTCTTCCTCATTAAGAACAACCACAGCTTGGTGTGAGAGAAGCTGGGCCTCCCCTATGCTTAGACAACTGTTAATTTTGGGAAATCTGAAATTGGCATCTCCCAGGAAATCTCTAGTGATTTGGGGGGCGTGGGGGTGGATGGCCTTGACCTGGGGGCAGGAGAGCACCGTGGGAGCGCTGCACTGCAATGGAGATCTTTTTCCCAGGGACGATTTGCAGAAGCCATGGGGCAGGCAGGGGAATGCCAGGCAGGGCTGCATGGGAAACCCCATGCATTTGAACACACACATCTTCCCTTTTCCCAGCCAGGATCCCAGCCAGAGGCTCTCTGGGGTCTTCAGAACCTGCCCGAGTTACTGCTTCTGAGAGTGTCCTCCTGGATCTCAGAATGAGAGCCCTTCACAACCTAGACAGCAACTGCCTATTCCCCAGACACTTGGGTATTGGGCCTGCCTGCTTTTCGTGTGTGTGTGCATGTGTGTGTGTGTGTATGTGTGTGTGTACACACGACAGCACTGGGGCTTGAACTCAGGGCCTTGTACTCTCAATTAGCTTTTCCACTAAAAGCTAAAGTTCTCCCACTTGAGCCATACCTCCTGTACTGGCTAGAGATAAGTCTCAGATTTGACTGTCCCAGCTGGCTCCAAAGTGTGCTCCTTGGATCTCAGCCTTCTAAGTAGCTAGGATTACAGGCATGAGCCACCAGTCTGGGGCTCCATGCATTCTCCAAGACCTGGCTTCTTAAAAATTCCTTCTACACCTCTCTCCAAGTTTTCCTTCTCCCCTTCTCCTCTCCACAAGGAATTACAGAAGGCTTGTTGTATACCAGACACAGAGCCATGTGCTGGGGACACAAACCAATGCCAGAGAGAAGGGCGCCCTCTTTTGCTGCTGTCACCATGACAACCATGCCACCACTGGTGCTACCCCTAAGCTCCTGGAGAGCCACATTATCATCAGAGCTTTGTGGTATTTCCGGGGTTTGGAGAAGAAGGAAGAGTTGAAGCTGCAAGCTGGGCACCGGTTGCCATTCTTGTAATCCTAGCTATTCAGGAGGCAGAGTATGGAGGATCATGATTCAAAGCCAGCCTGGGGAAGGAAAAGTCCGTGAGACTCTTACTTAAAATTAACTAGCAAAAAAGCTAGAAGTGGAGGTGTGCTCAAGTGGTAGAGATCAGCCTTTAATAAAGAAACCTTAGGGTCGGCTGGGGCCCAGGTCCTGAGTTCAAGCCCCAGTGCCAACACATACAAAAAACAAATCCAAAACCCCAGATGGGAAGGGTACTGGGAAAGAGGGTGCAGTGACTGAAAGAGGTCCATGAACACAGATCAGCCTGGATGAGTGGTACCCAGACAGGCAGAGGGGCCCCGCTATTGGGAGAGGGTGCCCCAGCTGCCCCCACACCTGCTTCCCCCTTGTCTCCAGAAACTGTATGTTTAAGATTCAATAAACAAAAAACACTCAATACTTGTAGACATCCAATTTTTTAAATGCTGGTGGTGTCCGCTCCCACCCCACCCCCCGTCGTTCCCCAATGATGGGAAACTGGCCCAGCAGCTTAGAACCACAAATGGGGCCCTACCCTTAGTCCCTTACTCTGGCTCCCCCTGCGCAGGGCTCCCTGTGCCCCCCCCCAGCCTGTCCTCAAATGAGGCAATGAGTATAAGGCAGGAATTGTCTGTCCATCACCCCAGGAGCCTAGGCCGGGTTTCCATGGATACAGCATCCAGCCAGGAACCTGCATCTGCATCTCCAGGTACCTGGTGGGGGGGCGGGAAGGAGAGGGAAGGGTTCTCTGGTTTGTCCCCAGCGGCCAACAGCAGTGCCTGACATTGTGCTGACAAGATTCTGGGACTGCAGGCACTATGCTATGAATTTGTGACACAAAAATGATGTAGGGCCAGGCAATGGTGGCTCACACCTGTAATCCTAGCTACTCAGGAAGCTGAAATCTAAAGATCGCATCCGGTTTGAAGCCGGTGGGTCGTGAAAGTCTGTGAGACTCTTATCTCCAATTAATCACCAGAAAACTGGAAGTGGAGCTGTGACTCAAAGTGGCAGAGCAGTAGCCTTGAGCAAAAAAGCTCAGGAACAGTATCCTGGCCTTGAGTTCAAGCCCCATGACTGGAAGAAAAAAAATGCTGTAAGTATGGCCCACGCCCTCAGCAAGCCATCAAGGCTACCAGAAGTAATGACACCACTACACTCTGCTGATCTTTAATGAGCATCAGGAAGTTGTGGAGATCCAAGTTTGTCTTTCCGGCCTTGTTTTATGGAGCTGGCAGTAGATTCCTAGGCCCAAACCCAGGGAGATCTGAGGGTTATGGTTCAAAGCCAGCCCAGGCAGGAAAGTCTGGGAAGGAGGTCCCTTCCCCAAGCATCATGGGATCTTCTGAAACGCTTGCATGGGTGGGGGAGGGGAACTGGCTGGCCATTCCCAGCTCTTCCCCACACACTTGGGAGTGGTAGAGAGGACACAAAAGGGTACACGGTTTCTACTTGACTTGGCCTACTTCCCCAGCTGCCTGAGGTGGAGAGGAGGGCAGGCCAGGGACTGCACCGAGCCGGCAGCTGGACAGGCCAGTTCTGCTGGAGCTGGGGCCAGGGACAAGTGGTATGTCACACAGCAGAGATGACGGGCCAGGCCTAGGGGCTCTGTGGACACTGTGTTCACTCCTCCCTAGCTGGGCATGCAGCCGGACAGGTCCTCCTGATTTTTTTTTTTTTGGTACGGTTGTGGGGCCTGAACTCTGGGCTTGGGCGCTGTCCCTCAGCTCTTCAGCTCAAGGTTAGCGCTCTACCACTTGAGCCACAGCACCACTTCTGGCTTTTTTTTTCCTTTTTGCTAATGTGGTGCTGAGGAATCGAACCTGGGGCCTCATGCATGCAAGGCAAGTGCTCTACCACTGAGCCACCTTCCCAGCCCCAAGGTCCTCCTGATTTGAAGGGGCTGATTTCATCTCTCACTGCAACTGGTTCTACAAAGGTCAAGCCAGATGTGGGGAGCTGTGTGGACACCTCAGAGCTTTACTTGACTTAAACCCACATATTCTTTCTCACCCAAGCTGTTTTTATTTGGGGGCGTGTGTGTGTGTGTGTGCTCGCACGCACGTGCACATTAGGGCTTGAACTCTGGACCAGGGCAATCTCCCCTAGCTTTTCTGCTCAAGGCTGATGATCTGCCATTTGAGCCACACCTCTACTTCTGGCTTTTTGCTGGTTAATGGGAGATGAGAGTTCTGTGGACTTCTCTGCCTGGGCTGGCTTCCAACTATGATCCTCAGATCTCAGTAGCTGGGATGATAGGTGTGAGTTACCAGCACCAGCCTGTTGTGAGTTCTTTAAACAAACAAATAATTAAAAAAAGATGCTATTTTTCTAAGTCACCTCCTCTCTGGAGGCCAAGTGTACAACCAGCTAAGAAAGAAGTCTTCTTGCTAGTGTCAAGTTGGAAGATTAACATGTTGGATTCCCCAACACCACTTCCTAGCACCAGACCAGGAGATAGCCATTCACACTGTAGCCTAAGTGGACACAGCACCCCCTGGAGGCAATCTTTCACACTGGAGCTGTCATGAAGGGCACTCTCACCTTTATCCTCCAGGCAGGTCATATCCTTCCTTCTACCTTTGCAGGTCTCCCAGCAAAAAGGTTGGAGCTGAGATTTTCTTGCTCCCTCTCAGCCCAGCAAGGTCTCCTTCAGCATGGCTCCCCCTCAAAGGGCTGCCTTTCCTCCTCAGTCTCAGCTGCAAAGCAAACTGCTCTGCAAAGGACCTTGTTCCAAGGCCCTGCACCACCCGCCCAGCCCTGGCCAACCTCATGTAAAGGGCCAAAACTTGCAGACACAGGACAACTGCCAAGCTAGGCGACAGCCTGTGGCTCCCACACAGAAGTACTACACAACCCTCTTCACCCAGAACGCGCTCGCCTGCCAGTCTCACCCAACCTGGGGCCCGGGAACCATGTCAGGTACAGGCCACTCAAGGCCTCTCTTGGGGCCCCGTTACTTTATTTTGCCCATATTCCTCTCATTGAATCCATGGTTTGCAGCTGATAGATCAAGTAGTTAAAAAGAGAGTTGGCTGCTCAGGAGGCTGTGATCTGAGGATCACGGCTCAAAGCCAGGCCAGGCAGCACTGTCGGTGAGACTCTCATCTCCTATTAACCACAAAAAGTGAGAAGTGTAGCTGTGCCTTACCTGACGAGAGTGCTAGCCTTGAGTACAAAACCTCAGGGACAGCACCCAGTCACCGAGTTCAAGCCCAGGATGGGCACAAATAAAAAAAGGGGGGGGAGTTGGTTGCTGGGTGCCAGTGGCTCACACCTGTAATCTTAGCTCTTCAGGAGGCCTAGGATCAAGGTTTGAAGCCAGCCCAGACAAGAAAGTCTGTGAGAGACTCTTCATGGTCCAATCCAGTTGACCAGCTAAAAAGCTGGAAGTAGAGATGTGATTCAAGTGGTAGAATGCCAGCCTGGAGCGCAAAGACGGCGCATGTGGGTCCTGGCGGGTATTGCTGCTGCTGGCTCCTGCCAGAGAAGACACCCTGTCAGCCACCCCCAGCCACACTACAGGCTCTTGTCCTCAGTGGCCAGCTAAGCCGCCCACCTCCTTTGGGAGGAATGCTTTTCTATGCCAAGTCATGGGTAGGTCCAGTGGAGAACAAGCACCTCAAATGTCACCCAGCTCCTTGCACTGACAGCCATGGGGCTGGGGGCTCTAGGTACGCAGCGTCCTGCAGGGGTACCAAACATCCAGTCAGGCAACACTGAGGAAAGGCCTGGGTCGTGAACCAGGCCAGAGGGACAGGGTACCAAAAAAGCTCTGAGACATTCAACAGCAGAGGCCACCGCATTCCACTCCGCTCACCTGGACTCAGCTGTCCCCAGAGCCACCACACACCCCAATGGGGACACCTACCGACACCCATCATTCCAGATGCCCCTTCTGCCAGAGCCACTAGCTCACGCCTGTCATCCTAGCTACTCGGGAGACTGAGACCTGAGGATCACAGTTGGAAGCCAGCCCTGTGAGAGTCTAATCACCAATTAACCAGCAAAAAGCCAAAGTGGAGCTGTGGCTCAAGTGACAGAGCACTGGTGGTTCAGTGAAACAGCTAAAGGACAATGTTTAGATCCTGAGTTCAAGCCCCAGTACACACACAGACACAGAAGCCACTCCTGAGACTGTCCCTTTTCTCCTGGGGACCAATGAGGCAGGAAGTACCACCTGTCTATCAACGATGAAATGGCATGTCAGAAGAGACACCGCCAGACAGGGTCGAGGCTTTGGTTCTAGAGGCTAAGGGCCTTCCTACCTGGCTTCCTAAGCACCTGGAGCTGTCAGGTGTTGCCAGCTCCAGATGAGGCCTGATGTCAGGGCAGAGGATGGGAAGATGAAGGTGCCACAAGTGTATCGACAACCAGAAGGGCCAACCTCTCCCTCCAAGAGAGATGCACACCATCTTGTGTTCCCCAAGCCCCTGGCCAGCCCAGGCCTGCTCCAGGCCAGCACGGGAGGCGGCAGCAGAGTCTATGCTGGACCCCAGAGCTTCATCTAGGAGTACCCAAGACAGGGGGCTCCAGTACCCTGGTCAGTGGATGGCAGCAACTTCCCCCTCCCCCAGGCAGAGGCCAGGACAGGAGTGGGCACAGCGGTGCTTTGTTCTGGTCCCGCCGCCGCCGCTCTGTGAATGGTGCTGTTGTGATATTTTAAGAAAATTCTACAAATAGCACTCGCTCAGAATGGGCCTGGAGCTGGGACATAAATGCTGCCTGGGAGTGCTGGCCAGGACAATAGAGGCCCACAGGGGCAGGATGCGGAGTGACCCCGGCCCATTTGGGGCTCACAGCCTCATCCCTCCCCCATCATGCCCCAGCCTTCCTAGTGGCTCTGGGGACTTTATTGGGAGCAGCTCCCTGGCCTCTCTGAAGAATGGGAAGGCCTGTGGCTCCCTTTCTATGCCTGCCACTCCACATTTCCAGGGGCTTCCAGGCTCTGAAGATGTCTCATGAGTCAGAGGAGAGGGGGGCGCAGGACGGAAGGAAGGAAGGAAGGCTGGATGTTCCTCATTAAAAAATTACTTTATTAGGTAGCCAGAAGAATCTCAAAGACTCATTGTCTTAGAAGTCAAGGACCATTAATTGCAATCTTTCTAGAAGAATCTATTCCGGAGACTTGGAAGACAGCTGAAGGAAGGAGAAAAGAACAGATTTTGGAGTCAGTGGAGCTAGGTGGAAAGTCAGCTGTCCCTGGCCCTTGGGGTAAGTGACTTACTTCACAAAGTCTCTAAATCTCACCCCTTTGCAGCTAACCTGGGGCGGTGTGGAAGGCACAGCACACACTAGATGACTCAGAAAACACTTGGCCCTGGAGGCTGGTGGCTCATGCCCATAATTCTATCTACTCAAGAGGCTGAGATCTGAGGATCTTGTCCAAGCCAGCCCGGGCAGGAAGGTTGTGAGACTCTCCATTAAAAGTACCAAAATAAAGGGCTCAGTGGTAGAGCACTTGCCTTGCAAGCATGAGGCCCTGGGTTTGATTCCTTAGCACCACATAAGCAAAAAGAAAAAAGCCGGAAGTGGTGCTATGGCTCAAGTGGTAGAGTGCTAGCCTTGAGCTGAAGAGCTAAGGGACAGCGCCCAGGCCCAGAGTTCAGGCCCCACTACTGGACCCAAAAATAAATAAATAAACAAAAGTACCAAAATAAAAACAAAAAAAATAAAAAAGCCAGAAGTGGAGCTGTGGTTCAAGTAGTAGAGTGCTAGCCTTAAGCAAAAGCAGCTCAGGGACAGAGCCCAGGGTGTGTGTGCATGTGCGCACGGCACGTGTGCACACACACACACACACACACACACACACACACAGCATGCTCGCAGGACAGACACACACACACACCCTAGCTACTCAGGAGTCTGAGGATCCCAACTGAAAGCCTCCATGACACTTTTATCTACAGTTAACCACCATAAAAGGCAGGAAGCGGAGGTATGGCTCAAGTGGTAGAGTATCCGCTTTGAGAAAAAGAAAAAGAAGTTAAGGGACAAGGCCTAGGCCCTGCGCACAAGCCTCAGTACTGCCATTAAAATAAATAAAAAGAGATGAAATTAAAAAGAACACACTTCATCTGGAAAATTCCAGGCTAGGAACTGTCCAAGAAACACCTGAGCCGGCGAGTCACAGACAACAGCAGCCATGGGGTCAGTGTAGTGAGAGAGGGCCCCTCCTACCTCCCTGTTCCTCCAGGGGAAGGGACCTGGAGGAGAAGGCTGGGGGCAGGCCGGTGACTCTGGATGCAGGCAGGGACTCACTAGGCTAGAAAGTTCTGGCATCACCAAGGCAAAGCTGATGCTTGGTGATGCTGGACATGGAGCCTACCCCAGTCCCTCCCTCCTCCCCTTGACACCTCATGGTGGCCCCAGGACACTGTGCTCAGCCTGCCAGGGGGACAGAGGCCCAGGGAGCGCCGGCGTATGCCCAGAGGCTGGTGGCATGGTCAAGGACTTAAGTCTCGACTCCAAGGCCATCCATGCTACTGCCATCCTGCACCTTCCACGCGGGCCCAAGGAGTTGACAGGCCACATGCCCTCAAGAGCACCATGGCACCTCCGGGCGCTCTCTCCCTCCACCTGACTTTCACGGGAAAACAAGGAAGTAGAACCACCTCATAGGGCCGATGTCTCCTCACTCCTCATCGAGGGGTTCTGTGCCTTCAGAGGTGGGCGATGCGCCCGGGGCCCGAGTGAAGACTTCCACCACGGCTCTGGAGGAACCCGGGCGCTTAAGGCTGGGACGGGGCATCACGCCCCAGAGTATTCTGGGTGGCCATGCTGAGCCAGGCACAGAGGATTCAGGAGACAGACAATGGGGGTGCGGAGGAGCCCCAGGGACGCTGGGGCAATAGCGGAGGAGAATATTCCAGCTTCGGACCAACCGCCTCGCTGTCCGGCTGAAAGCCATCTAAATCGCGGGCGAGAGCACCTGCAGGGTGCAGGGCCCTGTGGGGGAGGAGGGAGGGCTTGAGCTGGGGTGAGTGAGAACAGACACCGAGGTCCCACACTGTGCTCTGCACCTGCACAGTGCCACATGACAGAGGCCACTGTGACATCACTGGTGACCGGCCTGCTGAAGTCACAAAAGACTGGGCTTAGCCAGGTGCTGCTGGCTCACACCTGTAATCCAGGACTTAGCCAGGTAGGGTGGCTCACACCTATATTCCTAACTACTTAGGAGGCTGAGATCTGAGGATCTCAGCCTGGGCAGGAGACTCTTATCTCCAAGAAACTACCAAAAAGCCAGAAACAGATTTGTGGTTCAACACCCACCTTGAGGGGAAAAAAAGAAAAAACAACAGAGGGACAATTCCCAGGGCTTGAGTTCAAGACCCAAGACCCAGTACTGGGGCGGGGGGCGGGGGGCGCAGTAACAGGAGTGGGAGACAGGAGATGGCCCAGGGTAGGTGACTTTTTATACAGCCCCAGTGTGCCACTGAGTTCTCAGGGCCATGGCAGCTGGTACACACCTGGAGATTTGTTGTGAGGGCCAGCAGCACGCAGCCCCCACTACTCTCTACCCGGTCCTCAATCTGAGCAGACCTGAGGGACAGGCACAGCCCACCTCCCAGGGGAACTTAGACAAAGACAGGCCCCTCGGTATGATGCATCCTCAGAGAGGAACCTGGCTGACTAAAGCCACAAAAGAGAAGCTGGTCGGCACCTGACCTCTGACCCCACCCAAACTGGCTGTGATGGGGGAAGCCCAGGCTTTGATGTCATGTTTTCTGAGCAAAGGGTCCATGCTGCTTAAAGGGAGCTGCACTAGCCTGAAATAAACATGGTGGCTGGGAGGAGGGGGATGGTGGAGGGCAGGCAGGGTGGGTGAGCATCCCAGCTCACAGTAGCCCCTGGTGGACGAGTCTGCCCCTCAGTTTCCTCATCTCTAATGAAAACATTAATAGAATGTTTTGTTTTTGTCGGTCATGGGGCTTGAACTCTGGGCCTGGGTGCTGTCCCTGAGCTCTTCAGCTCAAGGTGAGTGATCTATGACTTGAGCGCCACTTCCAGTTTTCTGGTGGTTAATTGGAGATAAGAGTCTCATGGACTGCTCCTGCCTGGGCTGGCTTTGAATTGTGATCCTCAGATCTCATCCTCCTGAGTAGCTAGGATTACAGGCGTGACCACCAGCGCCCCCGGCTAATAGAATATATTTTTAAAAAAACAAAAACAAAAGCAACTCTACATACCCACATATAAAGAGAGTGCTTGGCCCATCATGCTGGATGGATTGTAAATGCAATCAGGTCAACAAAGCAACCATGACTGAGCTTGGAGGATTGTGGCTCACAGCTAGTCCAGACAGGAAAGTCCATGAGACTTTTATCTTCCATAAACCACCAGAAAGCCAGAAGTGGAGCTGAAGCTCCAGTGGTAGAGCACCAGCCTCGAGCAAACAAAGCTAAGGGATGGTGCCCAGGCGCTGAGTTTGAACACCAGTGCCAGCCTACATACTTGTCCAAAGCATGATCATAACGTGAGCTCCTTCACCACGCACTAGGTGGGGAGGAAGAGGTCCCTTGCTCACTCTTTGGGGAAAACTATTTCCATGGTATCTGTTGGAAGAAGCTACCAATAATTCCTTAATGTTACAGCCACAGTGTCAGCTGGGGCCTACAAGGGCTTTGTATAAAGAGGAAGATATCCACTGGCACAGTCCTGGAGATTCACAAGGCCATGAGTGTGAGGGAGGGGAGGCGAGTCTAATGCACAACTGTCATAGTATTACCTACATTGATCTCCCCCCCCCCCTTTATAAACAAAGATTACAACATTCAGAGAAACAGGCAAGTCTGGCTCATGCTCAAGGGGAAAAAAGCAACCAACCAGGAGACCAGGAGACAGTGGCTCACGTCTATAATCCTTGCTACTTGGGAGGCTGAGATCTGAGGCAGTTCAAACCAGCCCAAGAAAGTCTGAGAGATTCTTAGCTACAATTAACCACCAAAAACTAGAAAGTAGAGAGGTGGTTCCAAGTAGTAGAGGATAAGCTTTGAGCAAAAAAGCCAAGTAAGATCATCATCAGGCCCTGAGTTCAAGCCTACTACCAGCACCAGAAAAATAAAAAGTGATCAACAGGAATTGTCCTTGACCCTCCTGTTAGACTTACTAAACAAAGACTTCAAATGAGCTACTATATGCTCAAGAACTCAAGGAAATGATGTGGGAAGAAGTGAAGGTAACACTGGTAGCCCACACCTATAATCCTAGCCATCCAGGAGACTGAGAGGCAGAGGAGCAAAGAGCAAAAGCCAGCCCAAGCAGAAACACCTACTAGACTCCCTCTCTAGAGAGCCAGAAAAATGACTGGAGGCATGGCTCAAGTGGTAGAGCACCCACCAGCTGAGAGCATAAAAGCTGGGCAAGAGAGATTCTGAATTGAAGCCATAATACCAGTACAATATAACAATAATAATAATAATTGAAGGCAAAGATGACAATAGTATCTCACCAATGGCAGAATATAGAGAGGGAAACTTTTAAAAGAGGAGGAGGAGGAGATAGGAGGAGGAGGAGGAGAGAGGAGGAGGAAGGAGGGAGAAGGAGGAGGAGGGAAGAGGGTGGAGGAGGGAGGAGGAGGAAGAGGAAGAACCAAATAAAAATTCTGGAATTGAAGATACAGTAACTACAATGATTAATTCCACTATAGGAGCTCAACAGTGGATTTGAGCTGGCAAAAGGTAAAAACTATCAGTAAACATAAAATTAGGTTAGTTGAGGATATTGTCTGAGGAGAAAAAATATGAAGAGAAATTAGACCCCAGAAGCCGTTACAACACCATCAGATCGCCCCATAAAAACAAAGGGAAAAAGCAGCAGAAATGACAAGTCCCCAAATTTAAAAAATTATTTAAAGAGAACATCCCCAAACTTGTGGGAACATATGCACCCAAGAATTTCAGTGACTTTCAAGAAGGATAAACTCAGAGATTTACACTTGGGACACATCACAGGCCAGCTGTTCAAAGCCAAAGAATTCTGAGAGAGGGAAAAGAAAATGATCTTCCACATACAGAATTCTCAATGAAAAAAACAGCTGAGCTAGTGCCATGGCTCACTCCTGTAATACTGTGTTCAAGCCCCTGGACCACCAAAAAAAAAAAAAAAATTGAAGAAAGAAAAAAAGCAACTAGTCT